ATACATGGACGCCATATGTAGCGAAACAGACTTTAATCAGGAAGAAGATATAACAGAATTACTTTTCGCCGACGACCAGGTACTAATAGCAGAAAATATGGAATGCCTACAGAACCACCTAAATCAAATTAGTAACAAAGGGGAGGAATATAATATGAAAATAAACACTACGAAGACAGAGACAATGATGATAGGAAGACATAAAGACAATTTAGAAATTAAATTAAAAAACAACACCCTGAGACAAACAGAGGAATTTAAGTATTTGGGAGCAATTTTTACTTCAGACGGAAAACTGGACAGAGAAATTAGCTCCAGATGTGCCAAAGCTAATCAAGTAATGGGCCAACTATCTCCCCTGTTGACACACAAGCAGATACCTCAGAGTACTAAAGTGAATCTTATCAGAACTATTTTTTGGCCAATACTATGCTATCAGTGCCAAACGTGGACACTTACATCCTCCAATGAACGTAAAATTGTGACAACAGAGATGAAATGCCTTAGAAGAGCTGCAGGAGTTTCAAGGAAAGACAGAATACAAAAATCATGAAATCAGACGAATGCTAGGAATAAAGCCAGTCTTACAGGTCATCAAAGAACAACAAATGAAATGGTTTGGACACCTAACAAGAATGCCCTGGTACTATCTGCCACAGCGAGCCACACTAAAACGTTACAACGGGTATAAAGCGAGTGGAAGACCTCGGAAAAGATGGAGTGATGGCATTAAGAACAGCCTTACAGAAATGAACATCAGTCTTAATAGTGCTCTTGACAGAGCTCATCAACGAACATTACATCTCCCCCTGACACTTCGATGAGGTACAAGGTGGAAGAGAAGAAGAAGAAGAAGAAGAAGATTAATTCATAATATTTAACGGCCTCAAATGGTTCCCCCCTCTGTTTATTTATAGGAATGACTGTTTAATATATGTATGCTCTAATGCTATATTTAAATTCTGTTTCTTTCTTCCTAATGACATTACTTCTGTCTTTTCAAAGTTGATTCTCATATTTGAGTTACATTCTTCCTTCATGATTGTGAGATGCTGTTGTACATTCATGGCTGTATCTGCAGTCAAGGCCTGGTTATCATCAAAGAGTAATTCGTTGATATTACTAATATTTTTGTTCCTGGGCTTGACCTCTCTTATACTGTCAGTGTAGGTGATATACAGGAGTGATAAGACAAAGATAGCTACCCTTTTTAAATAATAGTACAATATTAGAGGTCCTGCATGCTTAGTGCACAGTCACAACACTTCTTGACAGACGGAGATATTACAAACAGGCAATATTCTCAAATTATACTAACCAACCCCATGGGACTGTGGAACTTGGGAATGGGTTTTTCCGCTACATGTTTTGGGACACAGTGGTGAAACAGCTATGCTATTTGCTTTACTCTATGAATGAGATCTGGCTACAATGTTACAATTTTGTGGACCTGTGGAGGGACTAGCAACAGTGGATTTATAAATTAAATAAGCTGTATCTGCGGTAAAGCTGTACAAATGTAAACAATTAGAAAATATTTATTGTTTTTTAATTGTTAACAAGTAGATTTACTATGATTAACAGAAATAATAAATGAATATTAACAAGCACTGAAGTTATATAAAGTTTCTGTCCTTGAAATGTTAATGTGACTTGTGATATAATGAGCATTTTGTACATGTCATGTTTATAAATACAGACTCACTGTAAAACACAATGAGCAACATTACAACACACTACAATGTTATATCAAAATCATTTTTAATATTTGTACAATGCTCCCATATAGAGTCAGACAATAACACCTCACAGTGAAAATATACTTAAATATATAAATGAAAAAAATACCTTGAATCAAATACTGTAATTAATATTTATATCATTTAGACCTAAACATGTTAGCGTTACCAGATACAAAATAAAAGAAGCAACACAAGTCTTAATTAAATATCTGCAGTTAAATTTACCTTGCTTATCTGTACTGATTCTCAACTATGATCTATTTAACTGATTTGGTCCTAATCAGTGCACAGTGTTTGAGCCACATTTCTTATGCATATCAAGCAATGCCTGGTTTGCTATATCATTTGCATTTCTCCTGAACATATTAACAAAATCTGGCAGGGATTTGAATATGCAGCATTCTAAATTTTGCCTTCTTGAAAGTTAAACGCCTGCATTTTTGGTGTTTTTACTGTCCCTTTAAGACATCTGCTGTGAAATATTTTGGATCTGAAGAAGTTAAAATAATGACACCACTGCAGAGTGGGCTAGTGCAAAAACTTGATGGGGTGTTAAGAAACGTAGAAATATGCCAGATCTGCAAAATGGATATGCATGCAAAACTTGAGTTCCGGAACAAAATTAAAGTCCAGAAGTTAATGAACAGCCACAACTTTCTGGCAGAGTTGAGAGTTTATGAATGCTAAGAAGAGAAGGAGTTAAAACATATTTCTCTCCTTTCAATGTTTAATAGGGAGCCACCATGATTTAGTGGCTAGGCGTTCGCCTGCGGATCAGAAGGTCGTGGGTTTAGATTCTGATAGGGCCAAACTTTTCTCATAATGACCTTGACTTCCAGGTCGAGCCAGCTTTAAATGGGTACCAGGTAAAGTTCTGGGAAGTAAAGGTGGCTGGTATAATGCTGAACACATCACCCATAGAGTGCCGTTTGGTCTATAAAATACTGGTCTAGCCCTATTTGCCCAGTAGGCCTGAAGGCGTGGAAAGGGTCCTTTACTTCATTATCACTGTCCATTCTCAAAGACATTAGTACAGACTGCAGATGTCAATTATGTTTTGTAGTCAGCATCATCTCAGTGCAATCATTTCAAGGTTGAAGGAAGGTTAAACAGTGTACACTATTCTTCTCAAAGCTGTTAGCCTCCTGTTTGAAGGTCATGGTTCATTTCCAGACAACACTGTTTAGTTGACAAGTAACCACAATTCTGAGATTTTTTTGAAGGATTGCTACAGAATATTCTTTTTCTTCTTGTGGTGCTCGTTGATAAAGGCTTTGTTTGAAGCATTTTATTCTTTCTGCACTTGTGTTTTCCTTCCTGCCCTCATTGAATTTAATAGTCTTAGTTTAGTGAATTCATTTTGCATGTTTAAATTGAGACTTCCAGCAAGAAGCCAGCTGCTTTGTGAGGAGAGACTGAGCACTACTGTATAAAACATGGTATAATGAAGCTGATCTCTTCACTTTTATACATTTAAACCTTCCTCATATCTCACATAAACATAAATGAAGCTATGATTTATTTCAACAACACATTTATCAAGCTAACATTATAATATTAATGACTGCTGTAACTAAAACAAAAATATAAACCCTTGTCTAATCAAAGACAATAGTAATAATTTAACAGTAAATATAAAATACAAAGGTTAAATATACTTCACATATCAACAATTAGGCCCCAGATTCTAAAAGACAAGTCTAATATTGATTAAGAAAATAATTAATTTTTCTGGCAATATAAAAATATGGTGTAAGTTATTTAGAGATAAAGTGTCTCGGCAGGATTTTTAAAATAACAAGAGAATAGATCTGAAAATTATTGCTAAAAATGTTACTGTTTACAATAATGGAATGTTCTTTTCTCTCTTTCTTTCTGTTTTTGTTTCTCTCTCTAAATGTATTTCTTAAATGTCTCAAATATATACTTCACCTTATTTCTTTCCTCTGCTTCTGTGAGTGTTGATCAATCACTACTTGTAAATTTTTTAATCATGTCATACTATATATATACAAATAATTGAACGATAACAGCATAATTTTATAAGTGTGATGGAATGTCACAAGGAGGCATTTTTTTACTTGAACATTGACACAAATGTAATAATTCTTCAGATAAACTATGCAATATCATTATAAAAAGGTTACATGAAAACAAATTTCATTAATGCTTTCAAGCAAATTTGTAAAACTGCTGTATGTTACCAAACAGACAGTATACATTCCACATTGCATAAGGTGTAAGTTACCATACAGACAGTATACATTCCACATTGCATAAGGTGTAAGTTACCAAACAGACATAAACAACACAAAAGACTGACATTATATTTATCATCTGTTCAGATCAATTAACTCTTTCAGGAGAGTGGCTTAGCGGTATGGTGGAATTAGAGGTACAACATCTAGTAGATGAAAATGCTTGGCTAGATGATGCAGTAGTGTACACAGCTTGTTTATGTTTACTGGGGTGGAAGATTTGGCTGGGGATTTTCAGCTAGAGTAAAGGGAAAGATCACTGCAGAGCAAAATGTTTTTTTTTAAATATATAAGTATAAGCATGAGAATAGAGGTAGCTGCAGTCACTGCAGATCTGAAGTGGATACAGAAAACAGCACAGGAATTATAGTGTCTGATTCTCTGATGCAAAGATTAAACAGCAATAAAAGTATATGTTTAAGCACCAGTAAGGAAATCAAAATTAGTATTTTGAAAGCATGCATTTTTCTTGTAGCAACAAACGGATGTGAGTGGTGGTCTAACTCCCAGTCCTTAATTAAGAAAGAAAATAGGGACCTTTGAGCCGAAATGCTATTGAAATATTCCCAAAATATCATGGACTAAGAAGAGGAGAAATGCTGACATTTCAATAGATCTGAACATCAAGGAAGATTGGTTAATAAACAGTATCTTGTCACAGAAGCCGAAATATTTTGGTCAAATCAAGCACTGTAGCGGACTGGAAAAAATAATAGCAGAAGGCATGGTACTAGGAAGGAGGGGCAGGGGCTAACCAACATAAAGATGGAGTCTCCATAATGTAGTTTGGCTACAATAGATCTCCAACAGACTATGCCTTGCCCTGCTTGTAAACTCATCCATCTTTATGTTGTCTTCCCACCTAATAGCTAGCTGTCTATTATTTGCTTGCCTGTTCAACAACTTTTCCCTCCAATATGGTGTATGTAAGCATGCCAGGTCATTTAAAAAAGTCCAAATATTCCTTTATTCTTGTCCATATTTCCATATTATTCTCTTACTATTCCTGTTCATCAGCGATGATAGCCAGTCTTTTCTTAGGCGTTGGTTTGATTATTTCAGTGCTTTTTTCTGAGAGAAAAACAAAGAAAAAACGTAGATTAGTGTCACATACAGATGAACACAGCCTCCTTTAGAAAACAACACCAGAAGAATTATATATATATATTAACCTAACATTAGACTAGACAACTGGAAACAATTACACACAAATTAATATATCTAAATTAATAAACAATTAATATATCTAATTTAATCAGTGTCTCAAATATTTGTTGTCATTCAGCCTGATTCTCCCCTTGTCTCACGCTCTCTCTCTCTTCCGATATATATATATATATTATATATATATATATTTAAATATGTAGGCATGTGTGCTGCACCGGCAGGCGGGCGGGTGGCAGGTAATGAGTGTATGCATATGTATATATATATGTGTGTGTATGTGTTTTTTTTTTTTAAACCACTGTGCGTTTTGAGTATGCGTGCTAAATTTTAGTAATACAGTGAGATGGTATTTTGGCTACGGGATACCAGTAGCACACATATGTCTTCTTGTAGGGAGTCAACCTTCCGAAACCCAAGTTGAAGGTGTCTCCTTTGTACCAAGGAACTGCATGGCTGTTGGGTGAACAGTCGTTAACGAAGGCAGTCAGGTCGTTGTAAGGGCGATGCTTGCTGGTGGATGTAATGTCCTAAGTCTCTTCCCCGGCTAATAGTGAGGGTACTGCTGGAGTGACTATTTATTAACCCTTATATAATGCTTCATGTCAAAATGGACGCTAGGCATGGCCACTGTTTTGAGCCATGGCAAATTTTTTGGCTTCTTCTAGACGGTGGCCGTTGCATTTTTGCTCCATTTGTAGACTGGAAGGATATAGTTTCGTTGCCCAGCTTCTGAGTTGAGTGCATGGCGTGACACTGTGAGCTGATGATTCCATTTGGAATGTTTTTTGTGGTGGTGTGAATTTTAGATTCAAAAAATGGCACGATGCCGGTTGTCGCAATATTGGTGGTGCCATTATGTGATTAAAATTGATCGGGTGTGCAACTGCTGATCTGTTGGTGACTTCTGCTAGTCACTAGTGCTACCATCCCTGATGAACTGCATTTCTAATGTCGGACTGTTTGTGTTAGCACTTCGGATGGCTACGGTATGCTTTTAATGCGTGTGTATGCTAGTACATATGCTGAGACAGCAGTCTGTCAATCTTTCCACAAGGGACTGTGATAAACATTCTGTGTGTTTTTCGTTGGCACAGGAGCGGAGCAACTATGGGTTGACCCGTTTGCTATGAAGCTGAAACTAAGATTACCAGATTTAGTCATATTAAAAATAAAAATCGTCAGAAGTTATGTGTGCTTAACCCTGCTATAAGCTAAAGAAACCTGCACAATGAACAAGCAAACAGAAAATGGAGCTGAGTCTCTGGAGATGTGGATATGCAGCAGAAAAGGTCCTATTTCATGGAAACAAGAATAATAAAATATAGAGATTCTAGAAAGACTGGGAATGCATTCACAAACCCTAAGCCAAAGTGGCCAACAATTTTTTATGATTTTAAGATGTATAATTTAATTATTTATAATGCAATGTCTCAGATATAAATTAATACTCTTAACAATTTAAAATCCTCAAGTACTAGAGTTCAATTTTTATAGCTGACGGTTTATTTTATTTATTGTTTTTATTTTTTTTTTATTTACAATTTATTCCTAAAAACAGTATGAGAGTTGCACTGTGGAAGTGTTTGGAGCATCAACCAAGTAAGATTTTACAAAGACACCAGTAGGTACTGTAGCCAACCTTTATTATGAAAACAGCACATTAAAAAATGCACACAAAAACATCTCACCTTGCTTTGCTTGATGCATTTTCCTGAAAGCTTTAGCAAACTCGGAATCGTTATCTGCAGGTGGCTCATTCAATGATACAATATCATCTTCACTGCGAACCTTTTTCATTTTACTCTGATTAATCAATTACAATAAGTAGTAGTCAAAAACCTTTTGATATTTAGAAAAGTACACATTACATGAAGTGTGAATGGTAAATTCAAGCAAAGAAGATGCTAGTACTCACCACAAAAGATCTACTACAGAAGATCTGAGATAAATGATGCTAAAAGGTATAAATGCTGTGTACCGCTGCCGCACAACCTCCCCCCACCCCTTTTTTCACCTTAGCCCAGTTTTTGATTCCAGTAAGCTCGGGAAGGCTAACCTGGTCAAAAAATGCTTGCAGAAATGGGATGTGTTGGCCAAAAAGCACAAATATTGCAGCCATGCTGCAAACAGGCACAACACAATTACAATTACATCTTTGGGTGAACGCAGAAGAAGAGGATTACAATGAGCATACATTCATTATTATAACAATAAATGGTTCGCTTTTTGTTGTCTTCGTTCAGAATATCTTTAAAAGTTTGCTTTATATTTTGTTATGTCTACAATATAAAACCAAAACATTCTGTATTTCTGTTCTTCTTGTGCAATGAAACATCCATATCACATTTATTTACCTAAAGAAATCTCATACTTCTGGCACACCAGTGGAGAACAAAAGAATGCATGATTGATTATTCATGCGGTATAAATAATTTCAATGAAAATTTAATCATATATGACAATTCTACAAGGTAGCTATGTAATGTAGTGACTACTGTGTTTGACTCCTATCTTAGTGGCCACGTTTAAATGCTCTTTAAGGCAAATTCTTTTTTCTTTTTCTTTTTCAAAACAACATTTTCTTGTAGTGAAAAAATTAGACATATACACCCTAACTGCACATTTTAATGCCTGGCATATAAAGCTCCTCAGGTGTGTTAATACAGAGTTATCACAACATATAATGAAGCATCAAAAACTGGAATCCTTTCCACTGAAAAACACAAATCACATTGTCTAATACACTGTAAATTTCTCCGCCGGAAGTTTAAGACAGTCACATGACTACCAAAGTGAGCCACCTCACTTGGTGGCTAGATAGTTGCCTGCGGATCAGAAGGTCGTGAGTTTGGGTCCTGACAGGGGCTGGACTTTTTTTCAAAAAATGACCTTGGCACCCCGGTTAACCCAGCCTTGGATGGGTACCAGGTGTAGTCCTGGGAAGTAAAGGAGACCAAGTGGTCTATAAAATATACGTCTAGCCCTATATATCCAATATGCTTGATGGCACGGAAAAGGGTACTTTACTTTTACATGACTACCATATCATTTTCAAATTTAGAACATGCTGTTTTTGTTTACATAATTCAGCACTGTTAATCTTTATTGTCACAGCTCTACGGATTTCAGTAACTGGCTGTTTAGTGTGTGGTAAACAACATGAAAGGCACAATGAAAATGAAAATAATTTTTTTTTATTTACCCGGCCTCCAAGGTAGACCAGCCTAAAATGAGTACCACGATATTTTATGGGAAATCAAGATATTGGCACCATTATCACCCAATGAGAAAATCGCCCATGAGTTCTGATTATTCTAATAATATAAAGCCAGAACCAAAACTGGACTACAACCTGGTATCAGTGAGAGGACAAAAGAAGAAGTATATATCCAGTAGGCATCATCATCTAGTGCTTTGCCACCTGGCGTGGGCGATCATGCCTCTCCACAATCTGCGATCCGCAACTGCATGTATCAATTTGTGTGTTGCACACCACTCCATGCCATTACAAAAGGCTTTCAAGAATCTTCTTGGGCTGCCTTCATCTGTCTCTCTTTCCACAGATCTTTCCAGTTGCAGTTTCCCTCTTCTCATAACATGACAAAAATGATGATTGTCTCTTTCTGATGTTTGTGATAAGTTATCTTTGAGCACTCGCCTCTTTGAAAACATCTGGGTTGCTCTTCTAAGCTGTCCGAGGAATTTTAAGGATTCTTCTGTAAAACCACACAGTACACATGGCAGTCTAAAATCTGATCCTTTACTTAATGACAGTTCTACAGACTAACACAGGCTGATCCACTCAACTAAGACTTGGCATCATTTGTAAAGTAGCAGGCATGATCTCAGCCAGGGGGTAATGTAGGTTTATTAATAACAGAAACACTACAATAAAAGTGAGCATCCCTAAACTCCAACATTCCCTGAGAGTAAAAAAGGTAAAGGTACAGTCGGGAGATGTGAACCAGCGTCACTGCACACGGTTATGAACCATAAGTGCTCTGTCACCAGTACAGACAGCTGATAAGAAATTGTCCGCCTGTGTCGCCGTCCGCCCGTAACTCCGTAGATACAGCGATGTTCCTCCATTAACCCCAGAGTGTTAACTGATACCCATTTTCTAGAGGCTGGGTGAACCCCATTAACCCCCTGGTTTCGAACACCAACTGTGGGCTGCAGTTAGTGGCAGTTGGATTTGAAAGTGAGTCTCCTATCAACTGCGCTAATGCTGACCTAAGTGAGCGGCCCTGAGAGTGACAACATATACTGGTGTAGTCAGAGTATTATGATGTGATTTCCCTATATTGTATGAATGAAATGAGTCAAGGATAAGTAGCACAGTACTCTGGACATTCTCACAAGGGCTCTGTCTCCTTCTTTAGTTTCTACAAAGTTCTCATGCTGATTGTACCAGTGATTACCTAATTAAAAAGTTATCATCAATCAGTCAATTGTATTGTTAGTACAATGTTGGTATTATCAATTACCAATCAAGCATTTAAGCCCCATTCACTAAAACAGCAGATATTAGCAGCAATTCATTAAAATTTCAGCAATCATTCTTACACTAATGAAGTATTTTTCTTACCAGAATGTTCTGTAACTCCTTAATAGCCTTGCCATCTTCTTCAGTGGAATTCTAGATCACAATATAATTCAAATAATAATGCAGAATGCTCAACAAATTTAAAATTACATAATTTTGTTGAACTCTTTCAGTCCCAAGCAGCAACCATGATGTGTGATAAAAATAGTTTTCATGAATCCCAATGTTATACAATATATTCTGTTATTTTTTGCATTTGGTCATGAAATACTAAGGAAATCTGGCATTTGTAGTTGCCTCTTTGAAAGTTTTGTACTCAGGATTTTTTTGCAGTGGTTATTTCTCTCCTTAAGCAACTACTGCAAAAGATTCTGGGACTGAAAGAGTTAAACTACAAAACTATCAATAAAAAAGTTGAACATCTAAAAGTAGGCTTACTGAACATTTAATATTACTTTCATCTTTAAGAAATAGGTTTCCAGTAGGCCAATGTTAGCAGGAATGTCACGGATTTAGCTGACATGATAATTATTGGCTTAGTTTTAGGAAGTAAGGGCTACTAGAGCAACTAAACCTAATATGTTCAATTTGTACAATTCTGCGGATCTGAAATTTACTAATTTACACATGTACAAAAGTAAAAAAAAAAAAAAGTTGAAGGCAGGCAAACTGTATATAGACAGTGATACAAGTAGAATAACAACATTAGGATATGAACAAATAACAGCCTCAGGGAGTGTAAAACTATGGTAAGAAAAAAAAAAGTCTTGATCCATTGAATTAAACGTTCAATGTGAGATGTGACTTGACCGATTAAAATTATTTACCGAAGGCTTCAAGGAGCTGCTTCCTTCAGCAGAATCAACACTGTCACCCACCTGAGAAGAAATAAACAATATATCAATAATTTAAAAGTCAAATGTCATGCAAGCTTATTATAAAAGAAGAATATCGCTATATTTTTTCTCATTTCTATCTATCTATTTTACCACTGCATATGAAGATGCTTCCCAAGTAAATTCTTGCATTTGTATGAGACTTTGATCTTTATGTTCACGGTTTGTTGCTCTCTACTTATTCTCATGACTTCTGTTTTTACCAAATTGATCTTTATGTGATGTTTAAGGCAACTGTCATCTAGTTGGTTGATTGTTTGTTTTAGTATCCAGAAGCCATGAGTTGTTAACCCTTTGGCTCAGTATTATGGATATCGCAACCTTTCGGCCTTGATTCCATTGTAAATATCGTAAATCTGGGAGAAATGTGGCTTTTCTGCCTACCCCCGGGAGTAAACTCGGACCACAAGGAGTTCGTCACCCAGTCACCGCGCAATCCGGTTTAGCCAACTACGCTAGAGACCCGGGCTCATCTAGTTGGTTAATGTGGTCCTGCAGCTGCATACTATCACTGTGGAATATGCACTGACCATTGCCAAGGAGCAGCTCATTGAAGTCCTCCTGTTTATCAACATCTGGTGGGGTTATGTCCATTTTATTAATATTTTCCATGAATATTTTAAAAAGTAAAGGTGAAAGAACACACACTTGCCTTACTCCTGATTCTACTGGGAACCAGTCTGTAAGGCCAGTTCTTGTTCTGACTTCACTTTTACTCTCTCTATAGATGGCTCTTTTGCAATTTAACTGCCAAAACTGGGGGAAGGGAGGTGTGAGGTCTCTGAGTCTGAGGATTTAGGGCTGCATAGCTAGTGCTGTTGCCTTGGACTGTGCAGCTCAGGATTTTTTGTTTGCCCCGACCCAAAAAAAAAATCCCAACCTTACTAGGTCTTCTGCTTGAGAGCCCAGGATTGTAGCCATTCGACCAGCCGCTCCTTTTGCAATCTTAAAAATGTTCCTTTTATTCCATGCTTTTCCAGGACTTTAATATCCGGCTTTGTCTTTTAGAAGGATTTAACAATTTATATAAATGTCTGCCCTGTAGGCTGTAGTCACAATTCATGGACCATACCTCTAACATAATTTTTTAATCAGTAATTTGATGTCTCCTGTGCTCATACTTATATCAACAGTGTTTTAATTAGATCTACTTTTTTTGGCTCCCCATCTGTAATTTCATTACCATGTATTCCCACACAAGCAGATATCAATACAACAAGCAATGAGCATCCTTGTGAGTTTAGATATGTGGTAGTCAGAGAGATCTCTTCTCTTAAGTCTGGTCTGCTACACATTGTTGAATGTTTTAAAGCCTGAACAATAGATAGGGAGTTTGTTAAAAATTTTAAATGTTTCGGAGGGTTTTTATGTATCATTTCGATAGCTTTGAGTACAGCAATAATTTATGCAGTGAAAACTGATAGATTATCAGGTATGTTACAGTTTTTCTTTAGTTTCCATTGCAGAATGTTTAATCCTTATTTATTTTTCTTAATAGTAATCACTACAAACACTGATAACAACTTTAGACATAAAAGAGACAACATAAACATACTGTGTTGTTCATTTGTACAGCTTTCAAACCAAACTTTCCCTGTTTGATTCGTTTCATCATCTCTTCAATAGCTTTAGAGTAATCTTTGCTAATATCAGCTCCACCATCTGCTACTGTAGAATAAATATGCATAAAATTTATGTCACATCGTATGTATTCTGATCTTTCTATAGATATTAGGAATTTAGCAATAATTTCTACTCAGTGATGTATTTATAAAAATTCAACTGCTCACTGCCATACTTTTCTTTTAGTTCACCCCATCTTAGAGGCTCCAAAATTTTGTGGAGAGTTCCCAGGAAAGTCCAATATTATAGGTGGGGGGTGAAGGGTTAGTGTTAGTCCGTGTTCATTTCAGACCGTAACACCCATATGCTATGGGACTTTCCCAGGAACTCTCCACAAAATCTTGGATCCCTTAGAAGGGGTGAAATAAAAGAAATGAACCCTCACTGCTTGTTTCTAATACACTTTTAATCTAAGAAAATATGAAATTAGACAGTATCTTATAACGTTCTTGCATATAGTGAGGACAGCAGTAGGCAACAGACAGTTCATGAGCTATAGGAAACAGTGGACAAAGTAACTGACTGATGTGCATAGACGGTTTCTGTCATAAACCCAGAAAAGGCTGCTGTTTTATCGAGTTCTCTTGACAATATGCCTGTGTTTTTTACAGGCTGCAATCTGCAGCATAGTTCACAAATCTGAACAACAAAATAAAGATACACATAAAGCTCAAGGAAAAGCCCATTTTAGCTTGCTCTGAGTTGTGACAGGAAATGACAATAGAGAATAAAACTGGGTAGTACACATATTGTAGTGATAATACAGCCGGTGTATATACAGATTTAAACATTTTACTTCTCCATGACTGTATTTAGTTAGAGGTACTATTTACACCAGAAAGCAAGTAACTAACCTGCTCACCCCAGCGACCTATAATAATAATAAAAAGGGGATGGGAGGGGGTAACTGGCTTACTTGCAATGTCCTGTTTTTAGCTCAAGATATTAAGTATATATCCTGTGTTAAGCTGAAGACATTATGGTCACCCATTAAATTTCAATTCCTAAAAAGTTCTATAACTTTTCTGTGGTTACATTTCATTAAGAATCTATCAGCAGTTCACAAGTACCTACATCTTTGCTGGATTCTCTTTTTCTTTCCGCCAGTAATTTTAGACAAAAATCTGTAAAGAAAAATAAAACATGCCAACAAATGGTAACAGGTTTCCATATGAGGTATTCTATTGGCTTCAAATTTAAATGTACTTTAAATAACAAGTTTACATGCAACTCTGTAGGGAATATGATTGGGGCATAAACATTGTCAATCATTTTTGTTAGCAATTAACATTTGTGTTTCTTTTTTTAAATGCAGTTGCATCAAAATATCCAGATGTGAAGAGGTTCTACCATATGTCTATGCAAATAATGACATGATTTAAAAATGCAAAGTGAAGATTTAGGTCGTCATTTTTTTTTTAAATTGTGAACAGTTCACAGTCAAATGACATATCATCAACATCACTTGTTCAAGATGAGTTCATCGTGACAATGGGTAAGAGGCAGGAGGAGACCAAGAGAGAAGATACTGGACAGTTTGGCATCATGGCATGGGGGATAATCTATGTCATAAGTGACTGAAAGTACAAAAGACGAAAAATCATGTGGACAAGCATAACTACAAATGCCATACAGCATGGACTAGAAGAAGAAGAAGGAACCAAGAAGGAAAATCAAATTCAAGGACTAAACGAGAATGCTCCAAATCTCCAAATAAAAACCTTTAAAGTGTTATAGAAATTATAATAACTATGCCATTATCTTATAATCTGTCAATATTGTTCAGAGATGTAAAGAGGGCTACACACACATGACACCATTGTGCAAATGAACCATGGTAATGTCATATAACAGTTTTAAGATTGACACACTACATATGAAATGCACTAATGAGAGATAAATGTTTTGTTATCAGTTTTGTTCAATCAGTAAGGGAGTGAAACCTAAAGAAAATCATCAGTATATGGCATGTCTGTCACTCAAAAAAGTGTATCAGTCATCATCATGTGCCCTACCAACTGGCGTAGGCGCTCATGCGTCTCCATAGATCAGGATCCCTGGTTGCCTGGAACAGCTCTCTTGATGATATCCCTCCATGCCATCATTTCAGCCCATCCAGCATCATCTTTCTTAGTCTGCCTCTACTCCCTTTTCAACTTCTTTCCAGTTGTCACGATGTTCTCCAATGTCGCTCTTCTCATTATGTGGCCAAAGAACAGTGTTTGTCTCTTTCTTTCCTTTGTATATAGAGATCTACTTTCACTGGAGTGTGTCAGTGGAGTGGGAAATTTCAAAACAGTGTGACTTATGTGACAGACTGTTCATGACCGGGTCAGACACACCAAGTAGTGACTTCAGAGTTGATTGCAGCCATGTGTTGTGTAAGAATCTGAAGGATGAAATAAATGCTCTTTTTTAACAGGCTTCAGTACTGTGAGACCTGGAAACTTACTAAGCACATAAAAGCCTTTGAAATCAAATGTTATAGACAGGTTCTAAGAATATTGTGGGTAAAGAAAAGAAAAAATGCATCCACACTTCAAGAAATAAATAAATCATGAAGAAGGTTGGCTATTAAAGACGATAAAACACAGAAAACTGAAATATTCTGGTCACTTGAAACGTCACAAAATTTTACAGACAACAATAATGAAGGGGTATATGCCTGGGATCCTGAAAGCAAAGGCAAACTACTAGATGTAAACTTGCCTAGGAAAACCACAACAGCCAAAAAATGCTAGGATTGGTTCTGCAACGTTCTGTGAAGGATACGCAACTTGGAAAAAATATGCATGGGAAGAGAGGAAGGCCAAAAAGAAGATGGGTGCAGGATGTGGCAGATTATCTCCAGATGGATGTATCGGACGTGGGACATCTTGCTTGTGATCGAGAAGTTTTCCAGAAGGTTGTTTTAGGGGAAAAGCTCTGCAAAGGACATGCTACTGACTTCAGTACATGTAGAGTTTCAGGACCAAACAAGGACTGCAGTAATGGGGTATGCGAGAAACTGATCTGTTCTACACCTTGACGCATTATGAACATACTGCTGGTGTAACTGCTGATACATGCTACTACTTCTTCTTCTTATGGTCCATGCTGAGTGGCGCTGGTAGGCATAACTGTCCACAGCCTTCTGTCTGGTGCACCGTCAATCAGTTCTGACTCAGATGATCCTCTATGCCATGATGTCAAACTGTCCAGCATCTTCTCTCTTGCATGCTTCTCTTACCCTCTGCCTTTCCCACTGTGCAATGTACTCCAGTTCTTTCCTTGCTATGACCAAAAAACACAATTTTTTTTTCTGAAGTGGGTAATCAGTTCTTTTTGTAAACCAGTGTTGTTCAAGAGATTCTCATTACTCCATCTTTTCCTTTTATAATAAAATTATGATATTCGCCCATCATTAGCATGTAGCAGGTCCTTTGCAGAACGTCGCTCTCATCACAGTCTGCCTGAAAGAGACTCAGTCTCTCGCCAGCTCTCCTGCCTCATGTTCTTTCATACTCAAGGAGTCACTTATATTCTGTGCCCATCTTCGTGTCAGTTGGCCCCTGCCCCTCCTTCCTGGTACCATGCCTTCTGCTATAATTTTTTCCAATCCGTTGTGGCGCTTGATATGACCAAAATATTTCAGCTTTCAAGACAGGATTCTGTTTAGCCAATCTTTTTGATGTTCAGATCTTTCAGGATGTCAGTATTTCTCCTCTTCTTTGTCCAAGATATTCTGAGAATCTTTCCATAGCATTTCAGCTCAAAAGCACCTATTCTCTTTCTTAAGGACTGAGAGATAGTCCACGACTCACATCCGTATGTAACCATAGGGAAGATGCATGCTCTCAAAATTCTATTGGCTTCCATGAAGAGTTTCTTGGGATAGTAATGTGGTAGTTTCCCGTTACTTACCACATCCACATGTCTTTAGACAATGTCCCCAGCCTTCAGCAACCTTTTTGATTGCTAGAGCGAGTGCCCTGCACTATGATGCTCCTGCTAATGATATTCACTATCAGAACAAAATAATCCTATTAAATACTAACCCTTCTGTTCTGGCAACTGGTGGAGGGGGTGGTGGTGGTGGAGGAGGAGGAGGAGCATGAGTAAGGTTGTCATACTTCTTTTCAAGGTCAGCATCTGTAAAACATAAGAACAGAATAAAAACAGTATTAATTAGTTGTACTCTGGCTGATTTTTTTTCTTCAAAACTGACCTTTACTGCAGCCCAAAAGGGACACCAGGTAATATCCTACCAAGCAAAGGTGGCCAATGTTATGCTGACCACATCACTTACTGTGCATCAATTAGTCTATCTAAAAACATGGGTTTAGCAAACACATATCTGATGTGCCAAAGTGTGTGAAAGGATCCTTTACTTTAACCCTACCAGACCGCTGGCCCCGTTCACCGGGAATTTCTTAACCTGTCTCTATACCACTGGCCCTAATTTTTGGCTTTTTGTGTAGTACGGGAAAACAATGCGTCACGGACTAAAAATAACCACCCAATCGTTATCAATCCTCTTTGTGAGACATTGCAAATGTCTGCCCACATGTGTTTGGATTATATTTGTGTTGTTTTACGTGAAAATATTATGAAAATTCACAATGAAACGAGTGGCTGATGAACCAAGTTCTAGGCTTTTCACAGTCCAACAGGTGATCGATACTTTGGTTTATTCAGACTCTGTGATATATATATATATATATATTCATTATCTGTGATAATTTCATAAAGAATACGTTCTTGAATTGACACTGTCAGTGAGAGCGCGAATGATGAGGAAAATCTTGAAAATTATAAATCTTGAAATAGATCGATAGTAGGAAAAGGGGTGTGTCCATCAAACGGCAACATCTGGTGTTCACTTTGTGAAACAAAGTTGATCCCGATGAGTGAATTAGCACACAAAGGTGGAATAGTGGTGCTAGATAAAAGGTAAGCCTATTTTCTACAATGTCTCCAAGTTTCATCAAATTCTAGCCACTCGTTTGCATGTAACTAATATTTTTGTATATCATGTTGGTTTTTTTGCGGTTATGCCCAGGAACTCTGGTTATAGGGACAGTTAGGTTCAGGTCTGGTAGGGTTAAAGATTTATTACAGGCTAAATCTGAGCAGCTACACTGGGAGTGCACTGATGCATATCTGGTTAAATATTCACTTTTAACTTTCCCCTATGTCTCAAAATGCACCCAGAGCCTGCAGACACTCCCTGCTGCAGCATTCTCTACAAGTATGCATCTTCCCTATCTTCAGTTTTACTTGTTACTTCGTTCCACAGCCAAGAGCTCACCTCTGCCTTGTGCATTTGCAATACACCCTCCCAGTGGGGGGACAGTCCAGCCAACCTATCTGCCTGCTCATTCCCAAACATGCCTGCAGTCTAGAAAAAATATCCATGTAACTCTCACCACCTGTGACCCCTGGATTGAGGCGACCCATTCCATATGAAGAAAACCTAATTCCACCTTCCTGAGCAACCTTTGTTACTATGACAGCATGTGTGACTGAGATTTTTACCACTCATCGGAATGATGCAAATCTCTTTAATGTTGCAGACACTGTTGATCATCTTTTTAGCTTGGATCATCCAGGACTTGCCCCTCTTTGGTATGTAATCCTTCACAGTGTCAACTTCCCTACAAAGGACATGCTCTGTATCACTTGCAACAACTCTAAGATAGAACCCAGCTTGCAGTATACAATGCAGTTATATACATTTAGCATAGCTATATATATATATATATATTGTTCAAGAAATACTGAGACTAAGTTCATAATTAAAATTTTAGTATGAACAGTGATTAATTTTCATGTAAGTTTTTTTCTTTCTTTCAAATAAGCAAGCACTGGTCAGTCTCGTCAGTAAAGACCCAAATCCATTACAACCAACAGTTTGCAATGCCACATTAACTGAAAACAGATTCCAGATTTGCAAGTTACCATATTTCTTCAAGTAAAAGACCCACACCCCCCCCCCCCCCCCCACCAAAAAAGTATATATGGTCTGAAAACAATGGGCCTCGTTTGGGAATGTCGGTTCAGGGGTGACATAAAATGGAAATTTTAAAAATTAAAATAAAAGTTTTTTCTCACTATAATAGTTTTTGTGTTTGTCTTCACACTT